AATTCCACTATCATCAGCATTAAGGTGCATGTTTATTAACATGTCAGCTTCCTTTGTCAAACATTATACAGTATATATTTCTGAATACTTCTAATATCCTCATGCATTCTCTACTCTAGAGACCTCATGGTTTGTACCTGTGTATACCAGGGTGTAGTAGTTGAGAACTGAGAAAAACGTGTCTGTGCCGTAACTATAAAATAAAGGTCAAAGAATTTCAAAGCAGCCCTGTATTAGTCTTAGTTAATGTGTTAAGTAAAGTCTTTGGCTTTAACCTGCTTGGCCAAGGCAATAAGACATGGCTATATAATGAGGTGCCTGGCCTCCTCCAAATACAGCGAACCAAGAGGCTGGCGCAATGACATTGGAATGCAGATGGTGGAGGGCTGCTGAGCAGTGATCACAAGGGAGGAAAGCCTGAGTCATACTTACAATAATGTGGCAATGTGTGTGCTTGAGGGAACAGGGGGATTTGTCTTTCACCAGAACTTGCATTATTGCCTCCATTAACTGGATTATTATTCAATGTGCAAATTAGCTGGCTAATGCTTAATTACTGAATCACTAATCATTTAATTTTGCAGCAACAGACATGCAGGAAACTACCTGCTTCTTTAGCCACAACGGAAAGATGGAAAGATCCTATATGTAAACTAAAAAAATTACGAATACTGAATAGGTTATCACTTTTTTTTAATCTAGTCCCCTTTCCTCAGCTCACTGTAAAAACTTTGATGTTCACGTTACTTCAGGGCACCTAATGGAAATTTAATGGAAAGAAGTTGCTGAGTGAACAAAATTTGGAAAGGAGGCCAGATCAAGGAATAGAGATTTAGCATTTACTTCTCTAAATACTCTTGGACACAATATCACTCCCAGCTGGGGTCTTTCGGGCCTTTCAACATCAGACACCCTCTCCCAGGTGAACCAGCTGGGAGTGATCACACCTTATTGGCAGTAAGGGTCACTCCTTCTGATCCAGAGACCCTTGGACGCTTTCTCTGCAGCACGTTTGTGACCTTACAGGTTCTTCTCCTGTTTGCCCATGATATGCCTAACATACAAAATCCCCTTCAGCAATGGGCACACAACTGGTCTTCCAGTCCTGCCACTTGCAATCACTGGCCAGTTCCTAATAGTCATGTTCCTGCCATTCTCTTCCTCCAAGCAATTCTGTCAAGGCACTGTCAGCTCATGCATGATAACCTGTTTTATTGTGCCTGAGACCAGTACAATGTCTGGCCAAAAATAGTATTTCTGATGTGCTCACTGACGTTTAACTGCCGTGTCAAGTCTACCATCATGTGCCAGTTGTTGGCAGTTACAAGGAGATCTGTAGTTGGTCTGGATGTTTGCCTCAGCTGTTCTCCAGCTCTATCAAAAGTGAAGGCTTCTGTGGTGGGACATTAATGCCTACTGCCTCCAGTCCCTTTTCAGATTGTGTCTGCAATGGACTTAAGGACCTAGTCATGACATCAGTGAGTGACCTTCTCCCAGCACTTTTGTATAGCTGCTAAGTGTTGCATTCCCTGGCCACAGTAGACAAGTAGGTGTCACCACTTTACATCCCCCCAAAAATACTAGTACTATTACAAATAGGGGGTTTCAAAACTGGTGAATATCAGTACTGGCTGAGTAAAATAAGTAAACTCCCAACTTGTAAGTGATTTATCCAGAATATACTGTTTATATAATTAGAGGCACGTGAGTTCTTTGTTCTCAGTTTTGGTGAAGAGAGTAATAATCCAAGCACATGTGTTTAATTGTATTATCAATGACAATATAAACACAAAACTACACACAACACAACATACAAGTCACTACATTTACAGTATGTTAAGGCGCTACTACGTATTGAACTCTTAAATAATGCCTACAGAGACCAAAATAAGAGATAAGCTGCTTTCTTAATAAATGCAATATAACAGTTTAACCTCTCTCTCTGCAAACATGTATGCCTTAAAATAAATGGGAGCATGTGTCCCTATTCTAAAAATGCAGCCACAAGCAGGAAAGACCACCTTTAACCAAGGTATCTTTTAACTAGGAAACCCAAGTTCTCTAAAAAAGACAGAATAGCAAGTTCTATTTAGCAAGGATCAAATACGTAGCTCCAGTCAGATTTTGTTTGGATGATCATAAAGTAGTGGCTCTCCCCTGGCACGAGCTTCAGGTTTCCAACTCCTCTCTTGTGGTCTGACCTTCTTTCTCTCCTCTCTTCTCTCTTCTGTCCTCTCTGCTTCTGCTCTTTCTTTGGTCTTAATGTGATCTCACACGGTGTGTTTCTGGACTGCTCATGGACAACCTTTTATCCACAACTTATTTAACTAGGTGTGTGTTTTTAGTCGAGTCTGAATCTTCGTGATCTCATGGACTTTAGCATGCCAGGCCTGTCCGTCAACAACTGCTTCTCTGAGCTCTTGCAAATTCATATTCATTACTTCAGTCCTTTTCCTAGTTTCCCTGTGCCTTACTCGTTCTTCCGTTGTGTCTTGTTGTCTGGGGCTTTATATTTCCGGATCTCCCTATCATCCTGGGTCGGCATTGGGATCGGTTGTCGAGAGGTTCGCCTCACCAGGTCGCCCCACGTCTTCTACCTGAGGGCTTACGTCTCGTCCCCCGACTCCGCCCAATACCTTGAGCCCGGACCGCACCCCAGTGTTTGCTCCGTTCCTGCCGCTACGCATAGGGTCCTCCCGTCTCGCCGGTCTCTCTCCACGGCTAGCCCCCGGCTTCCGTGACACTATCTATTCGTCTTAACCTCTGCCGCCCCCTTCTTCTTTTCCCTTCAATGTTTCCCACCATCAGAGTCTTCTCCAGTGAATCCTGTCTAATATATTGTCTATATGGCCAAAGTATGTGAGTTTTAATTTCACTATCAATACTTCCAATGAAAAATCTGTGTTTATTTCCTTGCGTATTGACTGATTTGATCTTCGTGCAGTCCAATTTTCTCCAACACCACAGTTCAAAAGAATCGATTTTCTGACGCGCAGCCTTACTTACCATCGAACTCTCCCATCCATATGTTACTACAGGGAAGACCATAGCTTTCACAATACGGATCTTTGTTGACAATGTAATATCTTTGCACTTTAATATCTTATCCAGATTTCCTCCCAAGAAGCAAGCATATTTTGATTTCATGGCTACAATCACCAGCTGCTGAGATCCATGAGCCTAGGTAAACCAAGGTACAGTATATCAGAGGAGCCCCTACATCTCAGCAAACCTCCCCTCTGCTTTGAAGATGGTAATGTTAACACTGCCAGGTGCTACTTTTAGAGACATTTCCTAGTCACCTACAGCTGTAAAAGTATCATTATGTTTATGATGTTAGGTTATGAAAAACAGAATTTCTCCATCATTATTAAGATAAAGGGGTATGTACAATATGTAGGACTGAGATAATGTAATTTGTGCTTTTGCAAACCTGTATTTGGGGAGTATAATTCTATTAATATCAAAATAAAACCTGCAACTAGATTAGATTTTGTATGAGTGACAGTAGAGAGATAGTAGGAAGTTTAAAAGATCTGTATTATTTACTCCCTATTTGTAGTTTGTTGTTTTTAAATGAATAGTACATTGTCCCAAATAAGAGGAAATAAATCTATTTACTGGAACAAATTATTATATGCTGCTTAACCTTCACATCGCCATGAGGGAATTTGCTGAACTCTTTCCTGTTCCGAAGGAGCTGTACAGTTTTTGACTTGTTTTACAAGTAAGGCTGTCAAGTTAATGAATCTGGACAGTTTGCACTTCCTCAAAGAAGCAACACAAACTCTCAGGGGATTATCGCTGGCAAAAGATCTTAATTAATGTCAAGGAACGCAGATAACATTCAGGTACAAAAACCTGATCTGACAGGAAACTCCAAGGTGTAGATGACAGTGTTAAGACCCTTTAGAAACAAACTCCTAATTAGAGTCGGGCTTATTTTCTCAATGCACAACAAGGGACATAAGCAATGCTTTGTTGTTTATTTCTTGTATTAACACTTAGAGCAAATTATACAACAATGGTAGGGTGTAAATGAAAAAGTCACTAGTTATGTATTATACTGTGGGCTCTACTGTGGGGGTAGGAGCCTTGTAGGTTGATCGGTGTGCATGTCTGTTCAAGTGCTTTGCTTGTCATATGAATTCTGTAATTTCTGACTCTGTGATTAAGGCCCAGGGAGGCACTTACTGTACAGTATTTCAACCTCAGAACCCAGTGAAAATTCCAGCTACACTCCCTTATATTAACACAAATTCCTACTGTACATATATACAAACACATACTGTATAAATGTCTATATACAGTAAGCACAAATATGTATTAAAAAGTTTGGGAAGTCCCACTTAATTTGGCAGTTTCTTTATTGTTTTGTTCTCTCTGATTTGGCTGCTGTGCTGGAAAATACCTACCATGAACTTAGATCAGTGGGATCTCCAGTGCAGACATTCAGTGAAAATCACACTCAACTCTGCTTCCTGTTTACATCAGATATATATTATTTTGAAGCTGTTTTCAGGATGAAAGGAAATAAATCTTGAGTTTGTAAGTCGCTTTGTCTAAACACTGCCCTTCTCCTTTAGCCAGAGAAATGCATGGGATACGTACATGCAAATACCTTCCTGCTGAAGCAGCTTTCGAGTGCTTGTAAACCCCAGAGAATAACAAGAAATGAATTTAAGCAGTAGGCTTCCCCCAACCTGCCTCACATGCTGGTATTCCAAGGAGGTTCCAGGTTCACGATTTAGTCTCAGGGACGTCAAGCTTTAGTGGTTTTATTATTGGTTGGTGATGTTGAGAAGTCAAACAGACTGGTCTCAAGTCAAATTATCTCTAGTTTAAAAAAACCTAAAAGCATGTATGTATTTAAAATACTTCCAATAGAAGATAAAGGGAAATCTGTAGATGAGTTCAACGTTAAAACAGATGATATTTAATTAGTACAAAATGACATTTTTACTACTGTACATTGAGCATAAGAAGTTAGGAACAATTACCTGATATGTGTTGTCAAAGCTGTCATACATGAATCGTGTGATCAGAGATGTCTTTCCGACTGCAAGGAAACACAAAAAACAGGTTATAGACGGCATTGTTTCAATTAAACACACAGCTGTATTTGTCTACACATCCAATGCAATAAATGTTAACACTTCTGGACGTGTAAGCAGAAGATTGTGGTTTAAAATCCTGGGTAGGACACTGCTGTCACCCTTGAGGCCCTTATCAGGTACTCAAGCTATTTTCACAAAATGCCCAACAGCATAAATCAATACAAATGATTGATTTAATCAGGAAAGATACTTCATTTTGTGGTTCTATATTTTACTTGTTAAGCAGAAAAATAATTTCTTATATTTGACTGAGGAAGGCTTTAAATGATTGTACAGCATATAAGTCATTCATACCTGACTGTAACGCCCCAAGACACACCAGGGCACTGTATTCTCCAATTACTTACTTTTAATATCTGCGATACTATATTAACCAAAATAGACGGTGTTCTTACAAGCCTCCTCCCCTAAAAGTGTGATAAAAGGAAGTATTTTTTTAATCATTTAGATTTAAAAAGATTATAAAATAAGTCCAAATGTAAAAAACCCCAATATGTCCTACAGGTAGAAACCCAATTCATTTCAGAACTTCCCATAAATCTATAACTCTCACAACATGGGACACCCAAAACTGATTACTACTGCACTGCAAGGTGTTTTTCCATTTCCTTCACGGTTTTATGAGCACCATGAAAATGAAAGCTAATGTCAGGGTGACTGTGTGCTATGGGTCTACCATAATTTACATAGCAATACTACAATAGGGAGGTCTACGTAGTCATTTCCCATGAATCTGCCTACATTTGAATGCATGTTGGCGGTCTTGAACCAAAGATAAGGACTATAATATTTCAAATCATTCTTACTGTTTTCTTTTCATTGACTTAAGAGGATCTTCTTCCCACTCATTCCACTGATCAGTACATAAAAACAGCCACCTAGTTCACAGCCCAGTGGACTAGTTTTAATACAGCTCTCATTCACACAATACACAAATCCATAGTGAGTCCTACTGTTGTTTTCTATATGAATTTGTTGTATTACTTTTTGATCACTTCAATCACTGTGTTCAGATTGAATGTCAATGTTGTGTGAAGTACTGTAGGTATTGTATATCTGTGCACTCAGTGTATTCTCTAAAATAATAATAATAATTGCTTACACTTATATAGCGCTTTTCTGGACACTCCACTCAAAGCGCTTTACAGGTAATGGGATCCCCTCCACCACCACCAATGTGCAGCCCCCACCTGGATGATGCGACGGCAGCCATAGTGCGCCAGAACGCTCACCACACACCAGCTATCAGTGGGGAGGAGAGCAGAGTAATGAAGCCAATTCATAGATGGGGATTATAAGGAGGCCATGATTGGGAAGGGCCAATGGGAAATTTGGCCAGGACGCCGGGGTTACACCCCTACTCTTTTCGAGAAACGCCCTGGGATTTTTAATGACCACAGAGAGTCAGGACCTTGGTTTTACGTCTCATCCGAAGGATGGCGCCTGTTTACAGTATAGTGTCCCCGTCACTTTACTGGGGCATTAGGACCAACACAGACCGCAGGGTGAGCGCCCCCTGCTGGCCCCACTAACACCAGCAGCAACCTTAGTTTTTCCCAGGAGGTCTCCATCCAAGTACTGACCAGGCTCACATCTCCTTAGCTTCAGTGGGCTGCCAGTTGTGAGTTGCAGAGTGATATGGCTACTGGCATCAAAATACTGATGGAATGTTGCAAGCACAATATATTTGATTTCATCATTATGTTACATATTCCTTAATTAAGAAATGCCAATTCACCTATGTGCAGGTGGCTTGCTCAGAATTGGCAGAAGAACATGCACAGCAGTATTGATTACTGAGCACAAGAGGGCTATGACAGCCCAGTGGCGGTTGTGTGAGATATGCCTGAAGCAAGTTATTTAAATGCAAATTTCCCTGTAGACAAGAGTCAGTTGAATTTTACGGTGAAAAAGATTTAAATTAATAGGGCTCATAAGGCCTTATTAGAGCCTGCAAATAAATGCAGAGCCGTATTTTTGAGACTTTTTATCCCACAAACAAACTGCTTCATCGCAAAGTCTTCATTGCTCCACAATCATCTGGTCTTCAAAATGTGAGGATATTTTAAATGCACGAGTACAGTAGACCTTGTGCATATCTTTCTCCTCCCCCATGTTGCATTTGAAATGCAGCCTCATCAATGGGACCCATGGGGAAATGTTGATGACTGATGTTCACATCTGTCCTCTCTTTCAGTCATTTAGGCAGCTGCTCTTTTACCTGATGGGCTCTTGTTAGGAAGAACAATTTCAATATATAGTAGCTGTTCAGTGCCTGGCCTGCTCAACAAGACTGGGTCACTTTCATCCTGGTTTTCTCTGGTTGATTTTCAATGGCACATCCCCCCTGACAGAGATGCGCACAAAACTGCTGTCCCTTTCTCCTCTGTCCACATCTGAATGCAAGCCGTTAGGTCTGATGCGTATGTTATCTTGCTAAGGAGAGAAAGACTGTGGGGAGGGACTGTGCTCCTCACTTTTGAAATCGAATTTGAAATCCTCGCTTGCTAAATATAGTCACAACCCACACCTGATGAACATCCTTTAAAAGAAGAAAAACTGTCCAACTCTAATGAGAGACCCATCAGCAGCAGAATATCAGCACAAAATGTACTCTGTTTTCTAGGCAATGGTGCATCTGCAGATGAGGTGTCAGCCTGGCATGCATGTGCAAAAACATTCACCTTTGATTAAAGTCAGTTTCCTGCCTAAGCTAATTCTGGACTAGCTCTCATGTGGTATCTGGGTAAAGTACGGCTAATGTGTTTTATGCTTCAGTTTATTGGATGGTTTGCCTGGGACTATAGTATAACAAAGATACACATTTTTACTAGATATGTCTTTTTTTTTAAAGGTAACATAAACAGTAAGTGAAAGTTGATATAATCATTGCAAAATACAGTGGTTTCTCTGAACAGATGTACACAGCTGTTTTCAGTATATCAGTATCACTTTTAACCAACTTTAAACCAACTATTAACTGATATTTGTATATGTAAACAAATTTATTTTCAACAATATTTATGTTTATTCTACTGATCTATTGATATAAGCCAACATGTATCATTCTTGAATAATGTTAACAACTTTACCTGAGACCACTGCAATTAGTTTGTAATAATTATGAGTAACACTAATTGAATGGCAATACATGCCATGAATAACTGATCGATCTATCATAATTGTATTATTTTTTTCTGGAGTTGCTCAAGCATACTGTATGAGTAGTATTGATCTCTGCTCTTGGTCTTGTACCTTCCATTTACAAGGGTTATATCAATTAAAACTGTTATTTTAAAAAACAAGAACCTTTTTCAATCAAACCATAATCTTGTGTCAGCCATGCCTTCAGAAAAGCACCAAAGTCTACTGGAAGCTTCCAGTAGAGCTTCATAACACAGTTTGTGTTGGAAATGCGAAGTCATTGAGAAATAACTCTGAGAACAACTAAATACGTGAATAAATAAACTGTATAGATCAAATTCAGCAAATGCTTGGGAAACAAATGCTTTTGAGGAAAAGTAGAAGCCCTCTTTTCTTTTACCGATATCAATGATATTCGTGTACAACAAACAACTACAACAAATTTCTTTCTGAAATAATCTGGAAATGAAATAAACCCTCATTTTGATAAATGAAAACCAGCATAGAAGAATCCAAATCAAGCAAATGATTATCCCACATACATCAATTATCAAGAACAAAGCCTTATTATGTAAACTGTTTAACACTATCCATGTAATACATCTACTGCATGAGGACTTGTGTGAGATATGCTTTTTCATAGTGAGTTTGATAAATTAATGACAATGTTATTTCATTAAAAGCCACCATAAAGCCACAATTATTTGATATTCAGCCCTTAATGCTAAAATGTCCTAATTATAATTTTGTTACGAACTATAAATTCACACATGTGAAACAAATGACATTGCATTTTGCATGTCAGCCCTCAGAAAGATGTGAACATTAAGCAGCTTTAGCTCACACACTGAACTAGAAGCATTTTCTTTCCAATGGAAGAGGAAGACTAATTAGTTAGCTTTACTATACTATCCCAGAGGCAGCTGCCTTGGGCCTCTCCTAGGGAGTTAGTTCTTGTTTTGATGTAAAGTTAGATCCATTCAGCTGAAGTTTATTTCCGTTATCCTCCTGTGAAACTGCCATTTAAGTGAAAAATCAGAGCTCAAAAACCTTAGTCTTATCTAGTTTGCTAATCAATCCTACAACACTAAGTGTGGATACTAGGCTACTGAAAACCCTGCTTAGAATATGACACAGTTACATGCAACTCTTAGGTGTATCAGTCATGTTTGTACTTGCCTTGACGTCCTTATCCTAACACCAACTGTGGTAAAAGAAAATAAAAACTGAACTATGGACATGCTCCACATAGAGATGGGGCTGCACTGTTATGGTTTATGGGTTTGGTCAGTGCAATGATGTCTGCTCAGCCTTTGTCACGTGGTAACGTAATGTAATACACCAACGAAAAGTAAAAAGCCTTTCCAGCACAGATGGTCCTCCTTTGCCATTTACCAAGGTGGGTAATTAAAATGTTTCTGTGATGTACATGCCCTTAGGCCAAAGATAATTCAGATCACAAAGAGACAGCATAGGATTTTCATAGCAACCCGAACAGACAACCACTAAGACTGTCTCCCTAATCCCTGCTTTATTAAAATGAAAACAACTAAATAAATGTATCATCACCAGAGAAGCTCTTCCACAAAAACACAACCACCTGCAGCGTTGCAGATGTTATTCCTTGTTACTTAGTAGTTCATCAGCTAAATGTTCCCCAGAAAGAAGCTGTATCTCCTCTTTGCTGGTACTACCCTCCCCCGGCTTCCTAAAACATGGAATGCAAATTTCATTTTAATTTTGGGAATATAACCAATTACATTCCTCCATGACAGAATTCCTAATACTTTAAAAAATA